AATTTTAATGAAACTTTCGGAAACTTTTAAATTAATGTTCAATTTAAAATTTAAATCATTTGGTTCATTGAAAAAAGCTATTTACGCAACCAAGAATGAAATATAAATTCATTAATTACAATAATAATTTATAAATTTGCATGGCAACGAACTGGACTGCTCAGGAAGAGCCTTTTTTCCCCCTGTCATGCTTTTAAGGCAAAAAAAGTATCCAACATCAGAAAATTATGCGCAACTCGATCTGCAGGGCGCGCCCGCAAAAGTGCCAAAAATCAGAAACCGATGAAGTGACCCCTTCGCATCTGGTGCCAATTATCGCTAGACCCAGACGAAACGACAGCCCGCGTAAATCAGGTAGCCCAAGAACGCGCACTTGGTCTCGAGAAACTTGAGCTCGGTTTTCATTCCCGGCCCAAGCACAACACACACATGAGATGATGGCGTCGTCGGCGTCGGTTGCCTAGCAACCGCCTCCGTCTCCTCGGCTCTACCACAACACTGGGCCACACCGCTTTATTTGTTGGCACCGGCATAAACACACACACACACGAGACGCAAACCCCTTTCTGTGTCTCTCTCGAGCCAGCCAGAAGCACCATAAACCGCGAGCATGATGCAAGCACCCTTTATTTTTTCTCGTACTCTTTTGCTCGCCGACGAAAAAAGAAGTACGTGCAGAAAAAAAAATCTGCTCTCGAAATTCATAAAATACATAGGGGTGCAAGCAAGTTGGCACGGTAGGTGCTTTGCATGAACAAGCAAAAAGTTCGGTTGAATAGGAAACAGAATCGGAAAGGGGCACAGACGACTTCAATCGCTGAGTGATGTTGAATATTTTTCTTCTGAAGCTTTTCAATTTCAGTGAATGATTGCTCGAAGTCCATAAATCAATTGTGAATTGTTATTTGAAATTTAGTTTTATTTTTTAACTAGTGCTGAAAATTAAATTCAATAATCAATAATTTAGAAATTAACCAATTCTATTTTTTTTTTCTGATTGACAAGTCTTTATAGCATGACATGTCCAAAATGAAATTAAATATATTTAAAATATATCAAAGTGAGAAATCTATTTTTTTGTTTTGTCTGGACAATTATTGAGACTGTATAGAGGAAGGCAAATAATATAATTTATTTTCTTACTGCGTCCTGTGTGCGCACAAATATATAATTACGCCGTGGCGAGACGCAATATAATGCTCAAGTGTCAACACAGTCGTTAATATAAACCGACCGAGTGTGTGGTGGATCTGCTGTCATCATTATATATTCGCATCGCCAATGTCGCACATATTATTTGCAGCAAACTTTCTGCGTGCTCGCGACTTCTGACAATCAGACTTGCAAATTGTGTTTCAAAGTAAAATGCCGAGCCAAGGCCGCCTAAATTAATTTCTCAAAGCCGAGCAGCGCGCTGATTAGTGCGAGCAAAGCCGCCGACTCGATTTTGGCTCGCGTGGCGAAACCATAAAGTTGTGCCGCGGCACACAAATGTGTGCTATTATCAATCATTAGAATTTATGTATGCTAATGCTGTTTGCCATCCTTTGTCAATGGCATTCATTAGGAATCGCAATACGCGAAATTGGATTTCACTTCAAGGATTTACTTGAAATCGTTATTTTTGGAACCTTTTTTCAATAATTTAATATTTCTTTCTCAAATTAAAACAATTTTTGTTATTAAAATAAATGCTATGTAATGTTACATTCAAATTGAAAATATTTAATTAAATGATAATTGTTTTTTATTTATAATTTTTTACTTCTATTCGTGATAGTAATTTTGTTTTTAGTAAATTTGTTCCATTCTACATTTTTTCCTTCATTAGAGAATTATCTTTTGATAAAATTAATTTAAAGTTCTGCTTTTAATCTGTTTCATCTGTTCTTTCCAAGCCTTCTCATTGTCAATGATTCGGTTAGCAATTAATTCCCACTTTTTAACTTTTTATTGTAAACTTGATGGCGAAATGCTCGCGCCAATCTCGATTCGAAGAAAAATATAGAGCCAGACAGAAACAAATTGAATAACGCCGCGATTATCCAAATTAAATTGTTGACCTTCTTCGCCTCCATTCGCAACTCGGAGTAATCAAGCGAGTGAAGTTGCGAAACCCCATTTTTGCGAATCACTTGGAAACAATCGCCTCCGGAGCTTCAGCGATTTTTTTTTACATTTCTGTCGCAATTGAGCCAAGAACTTATACTTGTTGTTGGGCAATATTGACACTTGTGCTGGTGTGAATGACGCAGACAAACCGCTAAAATAGTGTCGGCATTAAGGTCGATAGCCAGCCAGAGATGAGAACGATGCCGGCGTTGTCCTTACGCTATTAGAGAAGAGCAAACAGTCTTTCCGAGAGATTACGCGCCAGTGTGAGAAAAGATGCGGCGGCGTTTGTGGAACAAATGAGCCTCTTGTTTTGTCGCGAGTTCGCGAGTGCATGGCCTTGCGCTGATAAAGAAAATACAAAAAGAATCGGAGATTTGTTAGTTTCTTATCTCGCAACGGGGGCAAAAGAAAAGAAAGAAAGAAAGGCCTTCAATTGCCAGAGATCAATGATGTCACGTATATATTTGTTCGGCTCAAGGAATGCATGCAAATCACCGCCGTTTTTTTTTTATTTCATTTGCGCCATATTTATTTCTGCCGTCACGCGCTTTTTGGACTTGGGCAACGTGTTCTGGTGCCAAATTTTCGCAACTGTTATTTTTATTTCAAATCCATTATTAACCTGTGGATATTCTTCCATTGCCAAGTTGGAAGAAATCGTGAGAGGCAACACGTATGGCAAACGTTGTTAATTATATATAATTGGTAATTCTTTTCAAGAGCACAACTTACGTCACGGCAGGAGTAAATTATTGTAAATTATGATTAGCCGCACATTGTAAAACAAGTTCATCAATTATTCAATTTAACCAACGCCATTGAGGCTTTTGCAAGGAGATTAGGTATCTCGATTTTTTACTATTTGTTTTTAATTATTTTAAGAAATCATCAAAACACCAACATTTTAATCCATACTGATCAAATTTTTGGGAATAAATTTTTAATTGAAACATACTTCCATAATTTAATGTATTTTTTGTGTAAAATATTTCTATCTTGTTTTTCTAACTAATTTTACATTTTTATTGTCAATTTAATTCAATTTTGTTGAATCTTGAACACATTTTTTAATTTTTTTGTACCAAAAGAAGCCAGTCATTCCAAAAATGATAGCTTATCTTAACCTTTAAAGCTAAATTTATTAAACATAACTCACATAATGACTTTAATATCAAGGAATACGATTGCATTGAAATAAATTTAGGAAGTATAAAAAAATTTACCACAATGACTGTGGCCATTCCCAGCCGGTGAGCAAACCATGAAAAATTCTCAGATGAGGAGTTTCGTTGATTGCCAGGGCTAGAAATGAGATGCACCTGAGAGAGAAACCCTTGAAAGGTGGCAGGTAGAGAGGCTGCAGTGAGCGACACACACGGCCGTACCTGACCTTGGTTTGTTTTATAAGCAATAAGGAGTGAGTGAGTTTGTTGTCGAAGGAGGAACAATAGTGGTGGTTACCTTCCTTGCCGGCCTGAGAGAGCAGGCGAGCGAGCGAGTGAGACAGACCCTGAGCGCAGGTATACCCAGGCAGGTACAGCCGCCTCCACAAGTATGCCACGGTGAAAAGAGTTATTTATTAGGCCTCCCCTCCGAAATGAGAAATAAAGATCTTGATTAACTCGTATAACAAACCGATTTGTGTCCAATGACGTCTGTTAATTAACTCTTATAAATCTAATTGAAATATTTTTGCCTTGTATGGATGCAAAAAAATGTCCCTGATTTTTAGATTAATTATCAACAATTTTAGTTTAATGAACAGCGTAAATTAGTAATTTGTGTTAAAGAAATTGCCTAAATATAAAATAATTTTGTCCCTAATTTCATGGAAAAATTCAGAGCATTGAGTGAAAAACAAAAGATAAACTTTTCGTCAACAAGCAGGCCAAAAATTTATTTATTAATTTAACAGTTCATTGAAGAAAAAATTGAACTCCACCCATTTGCTACTCAATATGTTTCTCATTTATTTAAATCTTATCAATTTTACTGGTTCTTTTAATCCTGCATCAAAATATAACAGGAATGGTATTTTACAAAAATATCAAATGTTTAAATTTTTTTATTAATAATTATTATTATGCTGAAGTTTGAATCGCATTTGAGATTTTGAATATATATATCCACACTCTCTTCTACGTTATGTGATGAGTCGCAGGATTAAATTGCAAGAGAGCAAGACAATCCCCCTGGCAACACAATACGCCGGAATGCGGCTCTGCGATTTCAAGTTTGTGCCTCCGGGTCGATCGAGTTTTGTTTTTTGGTCGGCGTTCATTAATTTTCCGCCATACCGAAATTTCCCAAACTCTCTCCCACGCGCGCCGACTCAATATTTGAGCAGCTCTTTGGAAATATGGAAATAATCAGTCCCCCTGCGTGTAATTCGAGCGCCGCCGAAACCGGAGAGCGACAATTTTTTGTGTTCCTTTGTGCCGCGAACTGACCGAAATTAAATCCGCCGCTTTTTTGTTTTCGTCTGAATTAATTACTTTTTGCCGTGCCCGCCGATAATGAAGCGACGCCGACAAATCACCTTTTCCCAAATTTATATCTAATCTGTAAACAGAGCGTTGGTTTTGCCGGCACGCGAAATGAGTCATCTCGTTTTTCTCCCCAGCGCGATGCATCCCCCTTTCAATTACTCGGCGTTGATTTGTTGCCCTCTGGCAATGAAGGCCCCGCCGGCTGTTTTATTGAATAAAACAAAATTACGTGCCCAAGGTGTTGGTTTTCCCCCTTTTCGGGTTCAGACGAAAATCCTCGGAAAGGAAGTGGGAACATTTTTCTACCTGACACTTGCGCGTGGGCAGCGATCTCTAATTTTGTTCTTTGAAGGTCGTTTTTGTATTTTTCTGACGGCTCCAATTTTTTGTCTGCAGATTACTTCAGCGACAAAGAAGCTATGGGGAATGGAGGAGCATCAGAAAGACGACAAAGGTGGCGGTCCAGGTGGCAACATTTTGCAGCACCTGGGCGACCACCACCAAGTTTGGAGGGATACCACGTGGAGTAATGCAGGTGAGTTGAAAAACATTCCAAATCCCAAGAAATACTATCCCTATAAATTATACAAAAAAAATTAGAATCTGAATCAAAATTTAAAAAAAAAAAAACTTTTTTTTAAAATTAAATTTGAACCAGCCGGAATGAACTGGATTTAATTCTTTTGGCACGTTTTTATATTTACAAGGTTTTGCTATTTTTGTGTAAAATAAGGAAACAAAACTAGCATTTAAAAATAGATAAAATTTTCTTTCTCAAGGCGAATATAGGAAGCTCGTTGTGTAGCGTTGCCCGTCTGTGAGACGTTCAAAACAAAAAACATCTGATTCGTGACGACAGACGCCTCTTATTTCTAAAACGAGAGATTAAAGTGAGGAAGAGCGCGCTTAATGTTTTTGTTTTCCCAATGATAACGCTCTCTGGCCGGTCACGTGGATGATTATTTTCATTTTGTCCCCGCCTTGTTTGCTCCACAAACACACAAAACAGAGGTGGACTCTAGACTCGCTTGAGCAAATAGAAACAGCACCGCACTCAGTGTCACAAAAAGGAAGTTTCATAATAATATCCAGCAGCAGCCGGCAAATGATTTATTGATCGGCAGATATACAAATATTTTATTCATGTGCCGCTCCAGTTTCCGTGTATATTGAATTAGCACCTCTTCTTTTCCCTGCGAATGTCTGCAACCCCTTGGCTTGCGTCAGTCTCTTTCAATTTGCGGCCGAACGGATTTTCTCATTACGCCGTCCGTCTTCAAGCAGTGCATGCAATGCATTTTTCCGTCTTTCCATCCGAGCAGATCGATCGAATAACCTTGTTAATCACGTCAACGTCGCTACACACTCGCCGCCTTTTGAGTTCATTAGCCGCGTATTTATGCACATTTGCATAACTCTATTAATTATTTATTAGAGAGTTTGGATTCGACTTGGCGGTCGCCGCCGTTATTACTTGTTGGTTATTATTCCGCACTCGAGCATGCGTGTAATGATTGTTAGGGTTCAACGCGAATTGGATTTATTGGCACTTTCAAAGCCGATTTACATAATGCACTCGCAAGGTTAAAGCTCCACATTCTTGGCAAGAGCAATTTTAATATCTTTGTGGTAAAATGAAGTGTTAAATTTTTTTCTAATTCACAGAAAAAAAGTTTGCTTGTTCAATAATTGTTTAATTTAATTACCAACCTTGGGAATATTTTTTGTTGCTTTTAAATGAAACCCAGAATTTGTTTTTAGTTTTTAATATAAATTATTGAGTAATTGTTGCAATGATTATTTTTGTATGATTTTTCCCTTCATATGCTTCAATTAGTTTTCTCTAATAAATGAAATCATTTATTTTTATAAATAATTTCTTATCTGTAACCTTTTTTTAAATTAAATTTACCTGCCAATGTAGCTCAATTTGATGTTAGACCAGCCCACTTTTTGTAAAGTAATTTTTTTTTAATTAATTGTTTATAAGAAGCTTTTCAATGACGTTTAAATAATAATTCTCACATTTCTAGCTTTTGAAACACAGTTTTATCTTGCAATCCATGTTCACTTTGCTGACCATTACATCAAATCATGCATTTACCGCACAGTTTTGAGATTTCGTGTCGTAAGAAGTGCAACGATCGTGTCTGTACCAAGATAATATAGGTGCGAGTTATGCATTCCCATCAACCTCCATAAATACACACACATTCACGCCATCAAGAGCGAGTTCTCTAGCATTTAGCTCATGCATCAATACGCCTCGGTCATAATAAGTATGAAGTACTGCGTCGTGCAAGAACAATCACTCGGCGCGCGGTTCATTGACAGAGCTTGAGTGAGGACGATGAATGATGATTATTATTCCACCTATGAGCAAGGTCTTTGGCTACACACATACTTTCATTTTCAACTTTTTTCTACCTAATTATTCTCCACGTGGGGATTTTCTGAAATAATATTGGGAAAAAATATTTGAATCAAATGCGATCTCCTTGAAGATGTGCGCCGAGGTCGCTGCTCTTTGATTCCCTCTAATTATTATTTATTGAGGACAAAACCGGTCGCCGTCTGGATGCAGAATTCGCCCTTCTCGCGGTCGCACGCATCATATATAGAATGCATTTGACTTTTTTTTACTCTCTCGGCGTTATCGCCCCTCTCGAGTTAGCTCTATATGGATCCAAGCTATCTTATCGGTCGTTTATTTTATTTTATTTTTCGCTCGTGTGTCGCCTGCTTTATATATTATAGGTGTTGTTGAACAATGAGGAGCATTCTAGCGAGACTGGCGTCTTTATTGTTACTGAAGCCACTTTTATTATTCCTGATGAGAATTATTCAAATTTATGCCGCAGTAAATTCTGTGGTGCGAATTTTTTGCCTCGCGCAAGATGATGTATATCTTTGCACTCATTTCCATTTTACACAAGTCGAGCAAAACAGGGCGAAATTGTGCGAATTTGCATCTTCTTGTCTTCGCGAGTTTTAATAAATTATTTCATTTAATCCATATTTATAAGAGGCGCCTTCGAGTTGAATCGCCCAGTGCGTAGTTTTTAAAATAAACAAAATGAAATTAAATGAAACTCGAAACCGGCTCCAGCAGTTAATTGGAGGCCGTATTGCTTTAAATTTATGAGCCGGCTTGATAAAAATACGGCTGCCCCTTTAATTTTGATTGGCGACCAATTTAAAAATTTGAAATTAATAAACAGATATCAAAAATAAATTATTAAATGGTTCACAAATTTATTGGATTATTTAATAATAGAATTATTTGCTCAAATGACATTTTGATAATAAATAAAGAAAACTTTGTAAATGTATAGCTGAAGAAATAACAAAATTTACGAATTTCTCTATTTTTACCATACTTTTTGTAAATTTTATTTATTTTGAAGAATACTTAATAATTTGGCAACTTTCAAGTTATTATTTATTTTTAATGATTTGTCGGTGCCTCAAAGCTATTAGCTAATTATCCAGTTCTCTTGTGAATTAAGCACCATAAACTTTTCGCTGAGGCGCGACGATCGATGGATAGATTCTTGCTAATTACACGGCTGGTGAGCGAGGCAGCTGCTTCCGGCGCCACAAGTCGAGCTTTTCCCCGTCACGCAATTTTCTGCGGAAACACACACTTGTTGTTTTGAGCGGCAAAAGCAGCCGAATCCGATGGAAATCTTAAACTCGTCTGACTCATTCAAATGAACCGCGATCGCTTTGTGTCCCGGGCATTATTTATCGGCGCATTTTTTATTGACGGACTTCGCAGGTATAGAAAGGAGGAGGAGGAGGCTCCGTCTCAAGGTCTTTGCAGAGGTGAAGCTTGCAAAGCCGGTCTTGAAATCAGCCTCTTGTTTTTCTCGTCCGTCCGCGACGCCGCCGCCGCCGCCGGACGGTTCGTTGAGCTTTTTCAATGATGCTCCCACGCGAAACTGAACTTTGCTTATTTTTTAGTTCTTGTGCGCGCCTAGGATTGGAATTACATTTTTTGTTTACCAACGGCCGCCGCCGCACCTCGTTGAATATCAACGACTCGGTCGGGGTGATGTTGTCGGACGCCACAGGAAATCATGCGTTTGGTTTTTTAATAATTTCCACCGCCTTCTTGTTCATCACATACGCTGGGTATCGCGGAATCGCCGGCAATAAACTGCGTTGCGCGTTTTCCTCAATCGCCGCAGGTTGTGTGTTTCCCAAGGACACTCGGTCGGCGGCCGAGTCCAATAACGGCGGCTCCTCATTTCGAATTTATTATCATAGGATCGTCTGCCGATTCTCGTGAACCATTTATTTTATATTTATGTGATTCATGTGCGTCTACCGAGAGAAAGAAAGGAAGAGGCTCTCCAGTGGCGACGTCTGAGTCATAGAAATTACAATAATTGGAGGCTCCACTTGAGTTTACGAGCACATTTAATTGCGTGTTAGGCTTCCTTTGGTTTTAATTTCGTATCCTGCTTTTGACGCATCAGCGTAATTCAAATTAATAGTGGTTGGAGTTAAAACAATTGACTTGAAACTTCAAGGCAAAGAAACCTTGTGGCACTCACTTACTTACAAGCCCAATATTGCCGCAGATCCTTGAATTTGTTAAAAACGCAAGCTGAGATTTTTTGTTTCGCTCTTTTTTTCCGCAGATCTTATTTTATTAAAAATTGAGAATTCAGTCAGAGTAAAGCTCGAAGCGCTTTAAAATCTAGAAAATAAGCTTTAAAATTAAGTGAAGGAGCCGCCTCAACACTTGATTTAACGCGGCGCAAGCTTAGTTTTTTTTTTGTTTCGCTCTTTTTTCCGCAGATCCCTGATTTTATTAAAAATTGAGAATTCAGTCAATGAAAACCTCGAAGCGCTTTAAAATCTACAAATATAAGCTTTAAAATTAAGTGAAGGAGCCGCCTCAACACTTGATTTATCGCGGTGCAAGCTGAGTTTTTTTTCGCTCTTTTATTCCTTGTTTCGCACTTTTATTCCGCATATCTTTGAATTTATTAAAAATTGAGAATTCAGTCAGAGCTCAGAGCATTGCTCAAAGCGCCCTAAAATCTAGAAAATAAGCTTTAAAATTAAGTGAAGGAGACGCCCCAACAAATGATTTAACTTCGCGCAAGCTGAGTTTTTTTGTTTCGCACTTTTATTCCGCAAATCTTTGAATTTATTAAAAACTGAGAATTCAGTCAGAGCTCAGAGCATTGCTTGAAGCGCCCTAAAATCTAGAAAATAAGCTTTAAAATTAAGTGAAGGAGACGCCTCAACACATAATTTAACTTCGCGCAAGCTGAGTTTTTTTGTTTCGCACTTTTATTCCGCAGATCTTTGAATTTATTAAAAACTGTGAATTCAGTCAGAGCTCAGAGCACTGCTCGAAGCGCCCTAAAATCTAGAAAATTAGCTTTATAATTAAGTGAAGGAGACGCCTCAACGCATGATTTAACTTCGCGCAAGCCGAGTTTTTTTGTTTCGCACTTTTATTCCGCATATCTTTGAATTTATTAAAAATTGAGAATTCAGTCAGAGCTCAGAGCA